TTGCAAATTCATGGTCAAGGAGCTTAAGTGGTTAGTGAAACTTCCCAGTCAAGCGTTAAGGGGACTGGGTTGATCTGCCCTTGGGTTACCTCGCCAGTCAGAGTAAATACACTTTACAATGTCAGTGGAAGCAGCAGCATTTTCTATTATGATGGTACATCAAGTTTCTCTTTTTTTCCCTGTGTTCTGGGGTATTATTTGGTGTCTGCTACAGACCACCAGATCACACAGTGTATCTGCAATGTATAGGAGAAAAATGCTGCGTGATCATCGGGGACTTCAATTTGAGTGACATATGCTGGAGGTCGTATTCTGCCTGTACTAAAACATCCTCGGAATTTCTAAAGAGTATAGATGACTATTTCCTAACTCAACAAGTGTTCCAACACAATGGAATCCTATATTAGACTTTGTCTTGAAAGATAAAGAGGAACTGATCATAGAACTAAAAATTAATGATAGCTTAGATACAAGTGATCATGATTTGATTACATTTATAAGGTGGAAACAGACTAAAGTCCAGACCAGTAATATACATATTTGGTGCCTTAAAAGGGCCAATTTCACAAAGCTGAAAACATGAGCCAAATCAGGTGATAAGAAAAATTTATCATAAAAATGTGAATGATAATTGGGAATTGTTTAAGAATACTTTACTAGAAGCCCCAAAAAACAAAATCCTACAATCGAGGAAGAAGTCCGTATTGGTTAAAAACCAACCTGGTTTAGAGGGGAAGTAAAGGCAGTTCTTTATATATTATATATACACGCACAACAAATGGAAAAAAGAAAATGATGGTAGTAATTAATATAAATCAGAAGCTTGGAATTGTAGAAAATTGATAAGGGAAGCAGTGACACAAGGAGAAATCTGTGGCCAACAAAGTTAAGAACAATAAGAAGGTGTTTTTAAAGTATGTTAGAAACAAAAAATTGTAAAAATGGTGTTCATCCATAGAATGGTAGAATTATCACTAATAATGCAGAAAAAACAGAACTGTTAAAAATATTTCTGTTCTGTATTGGGGGGGGGAAGGTGATGAGTCATATGATAACACTCTTTCCATTCTTTAGCATCTCAGGAAGATGTTAAGCAACAGTTAGTAAAGTTAGACATTTTCAAATCAGCAGGCTTGCAGCATCCAAGAATTGTAAAAGAGCTGGTAGAGGAGCTCGCTGGACCATTAATGTTGATTTTTACTAAGTCTTGGAACACTGGGGAAGTTCCAGAAGACTGGAATAAAGCTAATGTTGTGTCAATACATAAAAAGGGTAAAAGGGATGACCCAGGTAATTATAGACCCATCACTCTGACATCAATCTGGGGCAAGATAACGGAGCATCTGATATAGGACTGAATTAATCAAGAATTAAAGGAAGGTAATATAATTATTGCCAATCAACGTGGGTTTATGGAAGACAGGGCCTATCAAAGTAAGTGGGTGTTCTTTTTTTATTAAGGCTACAAGTTTGATTGATAAAGGAAATATTGTGCTAATGTAATATACTTAGACTTCTGTAAGGCATTTGATTTGGTACCACACAACATTTTGATTAGAAAACCAGAACAATATAAAATCAAATTGGAACACATTAAATGGATTAAAAAACTGGCTAACTGATAGATCTCAAAATGTAACTGTAAATGGGGAATCATCACTGAGCAAGTGTGTTTCTAGTGGAGTCCCACAGGGATCTATTCTTGGCCCTACACTATTGAAAGTTTTTATCAATGACCTTGAAGAAAATATAAAATCATCACAGATAAAGTTTGCAAATGACACAAATTGGGGATGGCAAATAATGAAAAGGAGAGGTCACTGATACAGAGTGAATTGTTTTTTAAATTGGGTGAAAGGCAACAATATGCCTTTTAACATGGCCAGATGTAAATGTATACGTCTGGGAATAAAAAATGTAGGCCATACTTACAGGATGTGTGGAAGCAGTGGCTCTGAAAAAGATTTTTTTGGGGGGGATAGGGGTGTGGATAATGAGCTGAACATGAGTTCCCAGTGCAATGCTGTGGCCTGAAGGGTTAATGCAGTTCCTTGATGCATAAATGGGGAAACTTGAGTGGGAGTAGAGAGGTTATTTTACCTCTGTATTTGGCTCTAGAATACTGTGTTCAGTTCTGGTGCCCACAATTCAAGAAGGATGTTGATAAATTAGAGAGGGTTCAGAAACGAGCCATGACAATGATTAAAGGATTAGAAACCCTGCCTTACAGTGATAGACGCAAGGAGCTCAGTTTGTTTAGTTTAAAGAGAAGGCTAAGGGGTGACTTGATTGCAGTCTATGAGTATCTACCTAGGGAAGAAATATTTGAAAATGAGCTCTTCAGTCTAGCAGAAAAAGGTATAAGATGCTCCAGTGGCTGGAATTTGAAGCTAGACACATTGACTGCAATAAGGCATACATTTTTAACAGTGAGGGTAATTGATCTTTGAAACAATTTACCAAGGTTCGTGATAGATTCTCCATCACTAACAATTTTTAAATCAAGACTGGGTTTTTCCCCAAAAGATCTGCTCTAGGAATTATTTTGGGGAAGATTTGTGGCATGTGTTGTACAGGAGGTCAGATTAGATGATCACAGTAGTCCGTTCTGGCCTTGGAATCTAGGAATCAGTGTCCAAGTTCTGCAGGGGGAACTTTTAATTCTTACTCCTAATATTTCTCTTTTACTCTGCAGCACTGAAGGACTTGTCACTATGAAAGAGAGAATCTGTACAATGATGTATTTACAGACTTAAAACATGTTTAAGTTGCTGAAGAAAAACTAGTTTTTCCTTGTAGAATGTGCAAGAAGACTTTTGTCACCATTTGTCTCCCATGTTCTGTGCACCAAAGAAAAGTGTGAAAGAACAGTATGTTTGGAAGGGCACAAAAAGGCACTGAGACCCTGACAATTAGGAGAGCAGCCAGTCTCTGGCCTTCTTGTTTGAGATAGAAAGCCTTCAGGATGCCAGCTGGCTGCAACCTGCATACCATCAATGCCTGGAGGAGTCCTTAGCACTTTCTCAGTTATGTACATTGATTTGGTTGTGGTTTTTAAGGGAACCCTGTTCTTGGTTCTCAGTGCAATAGAAGGTGACTGAATGTGCAGCCAGTGCAATGTAAGGAGGAGTCTTTTGGCTCCTGGAATTTCTGTTGTTCTAACCTAGTGGTTAAAATGAGTGGTGGTTTGCATGTTATCTTTAAACAGGAGAGGTCAATTAGTTGGTCAGTGAATTATATTGATAGATCTAATTATTTCTGGGCTTGCTAAGAAACAACAGTTGTTTGCTAAGAAACAGCTTGGATAGCTGTTTATTCCTTGGAGTGACCTATTTCTTAGATGTTACTTTCGATTAGAGTATGCTGAAGCCTAAAGGAACCCTTTGATGTATAGTCAGTTTCCTCAGTGTTCACTGACTTCAGAAGTTCTTCTGTTAAAGTTTAAACATTACCATGCTAAGCTCTCAGTGTGCTGGTTGTGGTTAGATGTTCGGCTGCATGCGTGTTCTCCCTGTGTGCTGCCCCAGCTCTGTGCAGACAGCTGGCACAGCAGATCTCGAGCAAATCGCCCAATGACCACAAGATCCATGAGGGTACGAAGGCGCCAGACTAGGTTTATTGTCAACGAAGCACGGTAATAGCACCTGGCAGACTCTATGAGGATGCTAAGACATGTATGCCCGTGATAAGGGACACAGTTCAGTGAATGGCGGGACTTTCCACTCCCCCCTTGGTCGGACAAAGATACTCCCTTTGAGATACATCTTTATACCCTGATACAAACAAGTTATGACCTACTGCCCCCCGTCATGGCTAGTTATTACCCATCACCTTGTGCATGTTGATTCAATCAAAACATCTCTATTACGTACTGTCATCCTGACCTTATCTTTTAGGAGGGGTCAGTGTGTTCCTATTATCCTTGGGGAATGTTTTTGTACCATCCTTGATAGCGGGATGTTCTGGTACCACTTGATAGCGGGATGTGTTTGCGTGAGCACTCTGTGCGTAGCACTTCTTAGGAATGTGTATTTCTGCAATATCAGCCCTGTTCTTGCCAGAGTCTGTGAGCAGGTCCTGCCTCATACCAGGCCTCTGACACAAGGACTGATGTCTCAGGCTCTCTTCCTACTACACTGGTTACTGCTCCAGTTCTGGTTGTCTCATAGGTTAGCTGTGCATGTTGTTACTTAAGTAGCTGATCAGTCAAAGAAAAAATTGCGTGTGTTGTTTAACGGTTGAGTCTGCAGCTGTTACTGTGGTAAGGCATGGAACTAGGACTTGCCCCTTTAAGCTTTGTAGTGTATACCACTGAGACAGGTTGGACCCCCTGGGATGTCACCTGGTGTGCTGGGATGCCACTGAGGCAGACTATTCTGCCAACCTTAGCCCCCTCTTACCTGGTCTTGCTGGGCCAGCCCCCCAGCACACAGGCAGTGCCACCCCAAGCTGCACAGAGAGACACAGATCCACTCTGGGAAGGCTCAGCTTAAGGGGCTTGCCACAGCACCCAGATGTCCACCCCCCCTTGAAGTACAAACCCAGAATTATATGAAATTCACCTCTTCCCTCTATGTGGAGCGGGGTACGCACAACTCCTCTGCCCCCCTGTTAGAAATCACATAAACTGGGTTATATTGTAAACCAGAAATAAATGTATTAAGTATAACAGGTGTATTTTAAGTAGTTAAGAAGGTAGCAGACAGAACAAGGCAGATTACTAAGAAAATAAAACAGCACGTAAACTAAGGTTAATACACTAAAGAAACTGGTTACATGTAAGTTCTCACCCTAAATGTGGTTCTTCACATGCCAGACGCCCTTCCAGACTGAGTCCAGTTCTTTCCCACAGTTCAGTCTTAGTTGTTTCCAGCCGTCATCTTGGGTGGGGCAGCAGGGGAGAACTGACTGGGATGACCTCACTCCCCACCCTTATATAGGATTTGCATAAGGCGGGAGCTCTTTGTTTCCTAGTCTCCCCCCCCCCCAGCATCTCATGAAAAAGTACAGAATTCAAGATGGGTTCCGGTATCAGGTGACATGGTCACATGCCTCTGTAGGGCCCCTGTAGCCATTCTTCACAGGCTGACTGACATGTTCGCAGGAAGACTAAGCTCTTTTACAATCCATTGTCTCTTGCTGATGGGCCGTCAGCACTGTTGGGCTTTCTCATTATTGTACCTGAAGTGTTAGCAGAGGGTGTCACCCAAAGTAAAATAGTTGAAATACAAATACATTGTCAATATTTGTAATTTCAGATACAGAAATGATACATGCATACAAATAGGATAGTCAGATTCAGTAAATTGCCTTTCCAATAATACCTTACAAGAGTTATCTTGCATAAAAATGCAAGCGGCAGGGAAACAAACAAAAAAAGCTGCGATTGGCGGCACTTCAGCGGCAGCTCCACCGCCGCTGCTTCATTCTTCGGTGGCAATTCGGCGGCAGTACTTCCCTCTGAGAGGGACCGAGGGACCCGCTGCCGAATGGCCGACGAAGACCCAGACGTGCTGCCCCTTTCCATTGGCCGCCCCAAGCACCTGCTTGCTGCGCTTGTGCCTGGAGCCGGCCCTGTGTCTTAGTTATGTCATATTTCTATCACAAGCATATTTTCATAAAGAATATGGAATATAATGTCACAACCCCAACTAACACCATGTCATTTCTCCCAGGTTTTCCAGAACTGCCTTTACATTCCACTTAAAAGAACCTGTAAGACTGTCTGTAGTACTGCTGTGTGGTGACTCCCAGTAACCAGTTATAGGGAGTGAAGTGGTTATCAGCCAGGCAGCTAGTTGGTGCATCCACAAACACAGGATTCGGGATTTCTCACCGCTTTTTGTGATAGTGGGAAGCCCCTATTTGCACATTAGGTAGTCAGTGTCAAATGAGCAGAGCTAATCCTGGGATAGAAACAGCACAGCTGGAGAGTAGCATGGTGGCAATCTCAGTGGGATGGCCTTTCCCAGGATCCCAATTGCTTTATACTCACAAGAGAGGAGAGACAGAATCAAGGTGGAAAGCCAGGAGAAAACTAACCAAAAGCCAGAAGAGAACATGACCCAGGTTAATTATATAGGAAAATCATGACTGACATTGTAACCAGATAGAGGCCCAAAGACTCATCAGAAAGAGTGAAGTACTATGGAACATGGCATTGGACACTGCACTACCTGGCCATCCCGCATACTGACTGCTGTGCAGAGTCACAGACTCTGCCCACAGGCAGGTGTATTGATGGCCATGCAAGCATTATACTGCCACTCCCAAAGGAGTGTGACCCCCAGAGGTACAATGTAGCCCAGCCATGCAGCTCTGATCAGAAGCAGCGATAGATGGGCTGGAATGTACATGCCGTCTTTTATGTAGAAATAGTTTGACATTCTTTTTGCTGCCCATGTTCTGGGGTAGAATGAACACTGGTTTTTGAAGTAACAAGCTTCTTTCTGTGTACAGGGTTCAGTCAAATTGCTTATACATCTTTACCCCGATATAACGCTGTCCTCGGGAGCCAAAAAATCTTACCGCGTTATAGATGAAATCACGTTATATCGAACTTGCTTTGATCCGCCGGAGTGCGCAGCCCCGCCCCCACGGAGTACTGCTTTACCGTGTTATATCCAAATTCGTGTTATATCGGGTCGCGTTATATCGGGGTAGAGGTGTATCTCTAACCAAAACCAGAGGGTTCTCCATTTTGAAGAGAGAAGAATACATGGTCGTGCCTGCAGATTTGTCTCTAAATCAGATATTTTCCAGGAGAGGTCAGAAACTCTTTAATTTCGTAGTACATTCTGGTAATGATGATAGCAGAAGGCCAGAGAGAAACTGACTCATCTACACAAACTCACCGCTCTCAAAAGCAGAGAACAGCAGTTCACAGACAATGCGGAAGAGCAGTTCCATGTGGCTAGTAGATATTGTAATGCATGTGAGACCATCACACAGGCCTCTAAATATCCTGAGTTTTGTTAGTCGGGCTAGAATCACAGGCCAGCACTACACAACTGGCATGCTAAGCCTCCAAACAGGCTTCTGATAGATTCTCTCGCCCTCTGTTTACAAATCTAATTGGTTGTAGCTTCTACTTTTACCATCCATTTGACCTGAGCCCAAGGGCTAAACAAAGGTTCACCTTGTTCTGCTTAAATAATACAGGTACTGAGGTTATCGGCATCCTGTCATGTGCTAGAAGATTACCAAGCTGCTCCCATACTGCAGCTCTGAGGCTGCAAAATGTGCTGAAGGGCGGGTGTTTTTCCTGGGCTGGCCTAATGACATCAGCTCTTGCTAACTACAAATAATAACAGTACACCCAGATAGCAGCTGGGCTCCCTGCACGAATTCTGGGGCTTGATACAGGATAGGATTCTTTTATCAGCTTCAGCATTTCCCTCTTTCAGTGCCCAAAAGCCAATTTCATTCACTACATACTTTCCCACACCTGGAAGCAAGTTAGCATAAATTCCACTGTGGAGTAGGGAGAGACCCTGACCTGTAAAGGAAAATGTGAGCAGACAGTAGCCAGGAAAGAATCTGTCCTGCCCCTTTGAATCCACTGAGCTGCAAGGGCATTAACCAGGGCATTAACTCAGAAAACAATGAGTCAGCACTCCTGGCTCTTGGCTGCAAGAGAGTAGCTCTGGTAATTGGGCTGAAGCTTTATGATGAGTTTGCCGATCTTCCTGGGGGAATATTTATTTATTTTCCCCTATTTATTTTTACTCTGTGTTAACTGAGGCTGCCTGCCAGGTCGGTCACTCTGGCATCCTATCATCAGAAATTGCCCCTACCCATCACATGCTGTTTTTCTGCCACTCAGCTCCCAAAATAATGATCCTGTTTGAGTCTCCTGCATGCTGCCTCAGCTCCGTTTTCGGTGTTAAAACAAATAGCACGTTTTCTCCGGTGGCAGATATACAGAACAAATTTAGCATTGGGATTCCATTAGCCTCTTTTCTTTCTGCAAAACCACCTTGTGGGCGAAGTGGTGCAGCTCCCTGGGGAGCTGAGTTTGGCTACTGATGCTGTTTGCTGAGAGTTATATTTTCTCCTAGGTGCACACATATAACACCAGCGTCCTATTGATGCCAATGGGAGTTAAACACCTTCACTGAAGTGAATAAAGAGCCCTGATCATTTATAAATGTACCTGTTTATTGCCTGATTCTGCAGCTGGTTTCCACACACAATTCCCAAGGGCTTCAGGGGAGGAATCCTCATGATGAGACACTGAGGAATCTGTAGTTGAGAATGTAGCACAAACAAACGAGGTACATTTTAGGAATATAAATTTGGTTTTTAGTAGGGTTTGTGGCCCAGCTATTCGGCAAGGTGGAATATAGCAGTACAGAGCAGAGAGTTTAGAGGGTTGATTTCATTAGCTCTCTTTTTTTAATGTGAATTTTAGTACTAGTGAATGGTGTAGGATTGATAACCTCCTGACCAGCATAGACCCCTCTTGGAACCAGTCGCCATGGCGCACTCAGTTGCTGATCCCTCTGCTGAGAGAGAAAGTAAAAACCGGTGTTATGCAATCACTATGTCCCCCATTGTCTAAAGCTGCTGTGTAATACTTGTGTTAGCATGATGTGTGTGTGTGTATAAGAGGAATGTGTGTTAGTGCACAAGAGGGAGCAAATATGGGAAGTGTGGGAATAGTATTTATATTTATTTATCACATGAGCATCTAGCTGAGATGCTCAATTTACATTCAAAAAGAACAATCCTGTATATGGCTTATATTATGGAGTATAGTATCAGAGGGGTAGCCGTGTTAGTCTGGATCTGTAAAAAGTGACAGAGAGTCCTGTAGCACCTTATAGACTAACAGACATATTGGAGCATAAGCTTTCATGGGTGAATACCCACTTCGTCAGACACATGTCGTGTATATGGCTTACATTATGGAGTATGTTTGCTTCTGAGAGAGGAGAGCCGTCATGTGTGTTAGGATGCGTTATACAGGTCTGTCTCGTCTTACGCTGGGGTTATGTTCCGCAGTCAGCGCCTAAAGCGAAAATCACCTATAGTCAAAATTACATTGAGTGTAATGGCGGGCGGAATCGCCCGCACTACAGAAACAGTATTTAAATTGTTATTTTTCTCTTTTTTTTTTGTTTTGTTTTTTGTTTTGGTTTTGCCGACTGTGCAAAGCTGAAATCGCACATGTTCAATGCGACTAAGATGTGACAGACCTGTAACCAGTAAGAAATTGGAGCAGGATTATGAGATGGATATGACAGAGACACGCATACAGTAACTCTCATTTTCATTAACTAGCAGCACCAGCCTCTCTGTTGTTGCATTGCTAAGGAGAGAAGGTCAATTGCTTCCAGCTTTGGCACGAAGTCAGCATCCCTGTTGCTCTCTTGATCATTTTGGTGTCAGGGCACCTCATTTCCAACTAATTGAAATAGCATATTTTTCTGGTGACAGTGCAACATCCTCAGCCTCAGTTGTGTCATCTGTGAGACTAATTAATAGATACCAAGCAGGGGACTTTAATCTGATCCTTCACCCTTCAGGAGAGGGCTTGAGAGCTCTGAAGTTACTTCTCTTCAGTAAGATTTTCAAACTATTTGCCCCACTAGAATCTCAAATGTAACCTTTCATCAATAATGATGATAGAATATTGACTAAGCACTAATGCTGGATGAAGCAGTCGTCATTGTGGGATAAATGACCATGTTAGAAGGTTAAGCTGCCTGAGGTAAACCTGGGGGCATTTGACATCCGGAAGGTCAATTAGTAATTTGAGGAGTGTGACTGCCATTTACAGACTCCTGAACACCCAAATAATATTCTGTATAAAGACAGAGTGTGGACTCTATGTTGTAGGTACAGTATATGCAAAGGTAATTGACATGCTGCTGACCACAGGGGAATGATTTTTCACATTTGTTAACTCACCTCCAAGAAGCCCTTGCTAAAGTCTCTGGAATAAAATACTTTTAGAGCCAAGCAGTTAGAGAAGGGGGTTTTGGTTCAGGAAAGGATATTTCTTTTAGAAAGTGATCAACAAAATGAGAATGTTGGAAAACCACTGGTTTGCCAGCAAGAGTGGGAAAGGTTTCCTGTTTCTACAAGGTCAATTTTCAGTGGACCTCTACTTGACCTGAGGAGTTAGGAAACTAAAAGCCAGTTTGAGCCAAGAGTTTTTTATCATACTCCATCTGGACAAGGCCTCCACAGCTATATATGCCAAGAGGTGACATTTCCTTTCACATGAAACAACAGAGGAGTAACTCCATAACCTGGATGGATGTCAGATGAGCTCAGAAAATCTACAGCAAACCTCACCACTAAGAAAACAAACAAACAAAACAACCTGTACTATACTGAAGCCTCCAGGAGGACCAACATGGAGTTAAATCTACTGTCACCAGGTGGATCACAGAGGAGGGTATTGTAAAAGCCTCTCTGAGCAGCAGAGAAAATGAATGTGTTAAAGTTATTGATATAAGTGGGGGTGGTAGCTTCATGTCTTCTCTGGTAGCAATCTACAAGACAACCAGTTGGGGGGTCTATGGTGGTAAACACTGCAGGTTAGACATCCAAGTATATGCTGACACAGCCTATGGCAAAAGCTGTAAGGTCTGGGGCACGTCACAGCTTCAGGACAGGGCACCAGCAAGCCCCCCCTTATGTAAGCATGACATCATTCAAAAGCTTACTTGCACTGTCTCCACCTGCTGGCTGGGAGGAGCTATTCCGAAGTGTCTGCACAGGGTGAGAAAAACTACCTGAAAGAAAAGGATCAGGTAAGACATTATGAACATTGATAATGCATGGGGATTAGGAGAGCCCTTTAAATTAATATTGAATGATAGGAGGAAACGAATTAAAAAAAATTCTTATAGGTTTCATATCAGTAAATTGAATTCTAAGGAAAATAAGCTACAGGAATCTCACATCTAACAACTAGCTAGCTCTCCTTACCCAGAAATAAAATGCACTCTTAAAAATTGCTTCAAATGCTGCAATGTTGTATCTTCTCAACGCACCTTTGATTTGGAATCTCACATGTTTATAGACGCTCCCTTTTTCTGCCAAAAGTGAAGCTTGACTTCAGAGAGAAAAAGAAATGTAACATGGAAAGGGAAAGAGAGGTCAGAATCACTGAGACTGGGTTTTACTCTTTGCTGGAATGACTAGAGAGTCACAACAAGATCTTCAGATAATGTGTAAGTTATATAGCAATGATACAAGGATTACCCCATTGGATCAAAAGTTTCACAAGACTCTCAAAGCCATCATTCTGGAACTGTTTCAAATATTATTAATGTTCTTCCTCTGAGATTTTTATTGCTAGTCACTGATATCAACAGTAACAAATTTAAAGAAACTATAAATGACAGAGCACCCAGAGATAGGGTAAATAAAACAAAATAAAATAAAAAGACTCTTTTACCATGCACCTTACAATGAACATCAAATATTAAACAGCATTTATCTGATGTATCCCCAAGCACATTTTCCCAGCAGGCAACAGACTGACATTCACATCCTTTTCAGTAACCTTGAACCCCACAGTCCTGTGCTTACTGTATGGTGTTGCTAGCAGTAATATTAGAATGAATGAGAATGTTGGGGATAGATTGCTGAGGCATCCTGGTATGGGGATAAGTAACAACTCAAAAATACAGAGAACAAAAAACATGCTTGTGAGACTTAATAGAGGTCACTAATCTGACTAAGTCATCATCCAAAATAACAAAAGACAGGAAGCAGCCATTGGAGTAATAGAAAAAAAATCTCTTCCTCTGGCACCTTTGTTGTTGTCCTGGGTGCTCAGATACCACAGTGACAGGCTCAGTATAAGAACCAGAATAGAACATCATAGCCCACCAGGCAAGGTTGTTAAGGCTAAAGTATGGATTTATTTCAACACCTGCTGTAGATGGCATCCTAAGAGACGAGCCTGCCAAAAATAACATGCGCTTTGATGAACTTAAGGACCTTTCCTCACTGCCACATGTGGTGCTCTCTGCTGGGAAGTATTCAGTCCCAGGCGCAATTGCCTCAGCAGCCCCCCATGGCTAATATAAGAACGAATATAAGAGATGCTACTGGAAGAAAGCAAATACTGGGTCAGGGAAAACTTAGTCTCTTCAATGATGGAGAAATTTGGACCAAAGGGTTTTCCATAGCTGAGCATAGATGGAGTGTATGCACAATGTCCTGCTCTCCTCAGCACTGATGAGGCATCAGCTGGAATATTGTGTCCAATACTGAGCACCACACTTTAGGGAAGATGTGGACAAATTGGAGTGAGTCCTGAGGACAGCAACAAAAATGATAAAAGGTTTAGAAAACCTGACCTGGTTAAAAAAAAATTGGGAATGTTTAGTCTTGAGAAAAGAAGATTGCAGGATGACCTGATAACAATCTTCATATATGTAAACGGCTGTTATAAAGAGGACAGTGATCAGTTGTTCTCCATGTCCACTGAAAGTAGGACAAGAAGCAATGGGCTTAATCTGCAGCAAGGGAGATTTAGGTTAGATGTTAGGGAAGTTAAGCTCTGGAACAGGCTTTCAAGGGTGGTTGTGGAATCCCTGTCATTGGAGGTTTTTAGGTACAGGGTAGGCACACACCTGTCAGGGATGGTCTAGGTTTAGTTGGTCCTGCCATATTGCAATGGCAAGACTTAATGACTTCTTGAGGTCCCTTTCAGCTCTACATTTCTATGATTCTGTGATAATGCTGGACATGGCACATGGGCAGTTCAGGAGAGACTTAGAAAGGGAGGGCTTTCTGCTGTTACTGATGTTTCACAAAGCCCTTTTATTGGTAACAGTGTGCCAGTAATTCAGAGATATTTCACTGATATATGGTCCAACTGTGGGCAGGGAATCCATGGTACCATCTGAATGGCTGAAAGCTGTTCATCTTCAGAAAGGACAACACACACACCATCCCACGCTCTTACCCACGTACACCCTTAGTCACACACAGTCTTACACACTAACACACACATACTGCACTGAGTTTTTGTGCTGTGCCATCAGGCTGGAACTATTTTTACTGTATTTGCATATACAGAGAAATAGCTTAAAGCCTGACAGAGCTTAAAGAGCAAGACTCGGCCACAGCAGGTCTCTGAGCTTATCATGGGCTCAAGATACTTTCTTTTGAGTTTTTCTCATTCTCCCCTTGGAAATGACAGCTTCCTATTTCTTGGCCAAACTATAACACCAGCAATAAAAAGATAGAAGCAAAGCATCTTTAGCTACATTTTTGATTGTTCATAATGTCTAGCAATATATTAAAATATAAAGGTTAACAACATTCCTGAGAAAAACTAAAACACCAGCATATTAGAGAAGAGATTGCACAAACTGAATTCAAAGTGGAATTTCAAGCAGTGCATTCTGTTGATATAAACCTTGAGAGCACTTGGTGAATGTCAGCAGAGCTTTGAAATTAAAATCTCTCTCATTTCATACCATCTATTGTTGCATCTATGGCTTGGGTTAGTTGAGGAAGATAGAAGCCACTTGGGGCATGCTTTATAATGTTGGCATTTCTAAGAGATGATGAGGACAGAAGTGTTTTGAATTTAGCTCTGTCTCTCTGAGCCTATTGAAATGCAAAGACAGAATTTTGTTATAAAGTGACAGAGAGAAAATTCTGTATCTGTGAGCAATGAAAACAAAAGCAGAGTCCTTGTAGATGTGGGCCAAGGGGGCTGTGGTTTAGGCTTGCCCCTTGAGTAACAGGAAAAAATGAGACTGAAAGCAGTAGCAAATCTTTTACAAAATAACACCGAATGAAAAATGAGGTTTACATCATTTTCATCATATACAATATCTAGTGATTTACATTGACTTACACATGAATTGTAAATGATTAACTCATGTATTTGTAATTGCTGTCGGGCTGTATGCGTAAACCAACATTGTGAATCTGTTTATACAACTCTGGAAGTATAATATGTCAATGTTAGTGTGAGTGTGTGAACGTTTTGCTGCCTAATTTGTTCTAGTTTTCTGTCAGGTCTCAAAAGCTAAGCAGGATCCAACTGAGTCAGTATTTGGTTGGGAAATCTGGAAAGAGCGCCTGTAGTAAGTCCCAAAGGGGATTCATTGGGTTGCATTTTTCCTTCCGAGTCAGCACTGAATTAATGCCCCTTTGCAGTGTTGGTGACATTGTGCTGCTGGATATGCTGTCTTCTGGAGGCAATGCAAACTGCTGTCATTAAAAAATCAGAGAAATTTTCGAAAGAGTCATGATGTTAATCCTAGAGCCTGGTCAAATTTTAGTTTGGGAGATTGCATTCTGCCTCCCAGAATTCCCCTGCAGTTTGGTGGACAAGAGATTCTTCACTCTTTGCCCTGTGTGGTGTTAAACAGTTGCTGTGTTTCATCCCAGAATTAGCTGCATTTCAGTGGTACATTAATACCTATGTGCAATATAGTTTGTATCGCTTTGTAAATTCTTTGGAATCCTATGAAATGAAAAGTACTATATAAACTTAAGACTTTTAAAAATGTCATGGGAGTTCATCTGATATTGGCACTAATTTACACCACTTTACTGGTTCAGAGATTGACACTACTCTGTAAATGATACCATTATGCTGAACTTGGTATAGAAACTTAGCCAATCTTTAAAGGACATCTATGCCATATTTACATATTCATGGACAGCATGTATATTGAAGTATTATAATGCAACTAGTTTGCACACACATTTAAACTAAATTTGTCATGCAGTGCATCCAATAGTGATTCTCACAGAAATCCAAAGAAACCCTTCACAATTCCTTCAGAACCATCATATAAAGAATCCCAACCCCTCTGCACACTGAGTTTTAAAAATTGGATTCAGTCGTTGGATGGTCTCAGAGAGACACTGACATGAGGAGAGAAGGGAAGGCATGGCAGAGGGACTGCAAAGGCAGCGGGAGGGGGAATGTGAATGCTGAAACTGGAAGGACAGGAAAATAAAAGAGAGATTCATTGGGTGACAATTTACTTAATTTGTCTTACTGCTATGTGAGTGGGAAATGCAGTACTATTCAGTTTTCCAAATCTCTCTCACATTTGGGGAGAGTGTTTGATATTTAAAATTGCTAGTTACAGGGATTGCACATGTTCAAGCTACAGCACATATGTGTTCTCAGGAGCTCAGCATCCTTTCCCATCCATAATTTCTCTTTGCTTGTTCAATCAGTTTTGGCAGCTGAATACATATGTGGCTGTGCTAAGAGGGGAAATTGTGCAGTTCCAGACACTCTTTTTGTATGTTTAATGGGTGGTGTGACCTCCAGAGATGTGAGTAAAGACTTGTAAAGTCCGAATAGCCTGGAACATATACCTGACTAGAGAGTGCCTGGTAGGGCACTGGCTTGTGGCAGAAAACATTTGCTGAAAAATATAGGCAGTGGAGATCCTGGTGAGTATTCCAGGTGTACATGGTAATAAGTTTGATTTCCTGATCAGGGATACTGAATTGGGTTGACAAACTTGAAAATAAGGTCTGAATTAAAATTCTGTGAGTTCTTGGTGAACTGGGGAGAAGACAGTTAGGAGATACAACAGTGACTCTGGCCTACTAAGACTAACTGTAGCTAGTGACCCCAAATAAAGTGCCTCTCCTCAGAGGCTACCACTTAAAAGTTCTTAGTTTCTGTCCAGCAAAGAACACTGTTAATTGTTCTTTAAAATGTTTATAGAAGTTCAACTTGCACACAGTGCAAAGTAAAAGCCATATAACAGGGGTCGGCAACGTTCGGCAC